GGGATCATATCTGCCTCATCAAAGATAAGTATTTCATCTAGAGCTTTTTTTCCAAGACATGCAGAATCCCACTCATCGATAGGTGTTGCTTCTAGATGAAAATACTTATGATATGTCATAGCCATTAGGCCTGGATTTTGCTTTCTATGGTATTCCGCAAGCAAATTCGCTAGTATGAGAACTACAACCTTTCGACCAGAGAATGCATAAATGGCTTGTGTTGTTTTTCCACTACCGCTTTGGCCGACTAGATAAACTTTTTGCAATATTATTAGTTTCAAATCAATAGAAAGAAGGAGTGCGTCACTTGGAGGGAATTCCAGTGTACCTTTATTATTAATGACCCAGGACGATCCTTCTTTACGATAAGTATATCCCTCCTTTTTCTTGCGCCATTGGCCATACTTAATTTCTGGCGTTTCTAGGACAATAAATGATTCATACTGCTTTCTTTTTTTATCTAGTTCAGCCTTATATTTCGCACGCACTTCTTCTAACTCTGCACTATTTTTCGCTTTAGCAAAGAGGCTGTTATCAAAATCAGGGAGCAGTTCTTGCCCCATCTCAACAACAGTTTCATCTAAAATAGTTTTGGGAATTGCTGTAGCGTAAATGGCATCTGTATATACTCGTAATACATTTTCTATCAGAAAACGTTTTAGCTGTTCGAGTACAGCAATATGGGTATAGGCAAGGACAAAGAACAGATATGCAACTATTGCCCACGCTTTTCATCACCTTCATACTTGATTAAAGTTCCTTACTCTGTTCGGGTCCAGTTTGGTCAGCGCTTATTTTTTGCTAGCCAGTTGACTAACATATCCGCTTCATTTATATCTCGAACTAAAATAAACATTACTTGTGCATTATGAGCACATGAGCCCACAAAGCGGACAGCTAAATCACGATCTGGTGGAAACTCAATACGGGATTTTTTACCTACGCTATATATAACTTCTCTTGGAGTTGCGCTTGAAAGCCATCCTTTGCTTAGCAATTAATTGACTAAGGGCGTTGGTATCCAACCTTCTTTTTCTGCCAGATGTTGCCCGATAAGTCCTGCTGTAAATGGATGCAAGTCTTAAGCGAATTCCCATGCTACAAGTTGAACAATACCTGTCAAGTCGCGAATAGTATCAATATTGTCAACTTGAGCACGCCGTTGTATTCTTTCTGGGAATCCATATTATCGGACCTAAGGCAATGCTTCTGATGCGCTTCATTTTGTATCTTTATAGCCAAGATACGCTCCACAAAGATCTATGTGAATATGCTTAGGGGGAGGGTCTATTAGTGCATTCCATACCATTGATTCCACCTGTGATTTATGCCAGATCTCTACAACATTTTTAGGCGTAGATGCAATACCTTCTTTTTCTCATTAGCAACGAAATCGATAAGACTGGGTGCCTCCTAATGATTTCAAGACTTTATCAAACTCAGCTTTAAGCTCTTCTGAAGAAGCTAGTGTATTAGATTGATACTCATCTTCGATCCATTAACAAATATCTACATTCTCTTCCCATAAAAATTCTTCAGGTATGGATTGTAATTTTTCACATATAAATGCATCATTCAGCTTTCTCCATTCATGAAAACTATGATAAAGAATACTTTCATGAGTTAGAATCTCCTTACCTACAATCCATATTCTTGTAGCTCTTGAAAGGTTTCTTGTGACAAATGATATAAGAGCTTTAGCAATCTTTTTTTCGTCGATATTAATTTTTTTCTCTTTGATCCTTGTACATGCGGAAATAAGTGCTCTTTCATATTCATAATCCATATCACAGACTGAAGATACTCGAGGCATTTTAGGTATACCTCCTGTCCATGCATGATTATTATGGCAAAATACTGTTAGTTTACGCTGTTTGAGATACCTACCACTATTCCACATTTCATTTCCCAAAATATCTTTGATGACGATTTTCATTCCTATACCTTCAGATTTTTCTGGCTTTTTAAGGTCATGCAAATCATCTAAAATACAGCCAGGTGCTTGTACCTTTTCATTAAATTTTGCAAGGGCACTTTCACGAGCTGATGTTAGCCCTATAGCCCGCTTTGTTCCTCCATGCTCTATTAGTTATTGTAATTCTGCTATGATACAATTTAAGTCACCATCATAAAATGGTCCCGGTAGTCCTTGTAGTCTCAGAACTGGTCAAAGTTCATAACAGATATGTTCGACATAATCACGGGTTCTTCCCCTTAAATATATATCGATTCCTTCTAATTGTCCCGGTGTGATCTCTTCTCCTGTAAGACTACCAGCTTTCTTTTTCTTACCAAAATGCCATTCCTTATCTCCCATTTCTTCGGTAAATCCATCGAGTGTGTTAAGTCAAGTAAAGAGTATATACTCTGTAGAATGATAAAGAAGACAGTGAGCTTCTGATGCCATTTTATAGCTAACATCGACTAGTCCATCACTATGCCACCATACAGTTCCATCTTCATGAATACCTGGCCCATATAATTTTTGACGTGGATATGCTATAAACTGAAAACATAATTTATAGAGCTGGCCTTCTAACTCAAGATTATATGGCTCATCTTGATACTCATTAAGAGTCATTGCCTCTAAATCTTTCCAGGATAACCACACTCTCCTATCCATAAATAGAAGCTCATCTAGACTGACTTTTCCATAAGAATAAGCACGCAATGACGGCCATCCATGAGGATTTATGTGATACTCTTTTTTTCTTCCTAGAACCTATACCTCCTTTACGCCTACAAAGGCACCAGATTTATTCCATTGTACTCGCTCTTCTATTCTACCAATTTCCCAATCATTAGCCACTCCAATAACATATTCCTCATCATCATCCATTAGATCCTGAATTTTCTTAGCATAACTGTTTGTTATATGTGGTTTATTTGCTCCTTTAGGAAGCCCCCAATACCCAAATTCATGTTGATTTTTTTTTCTTTGAGGTGCTAATTTTGGAATTCGTCTTGAAAACCACCAAATCGATCCATCCTCATATCATTCTGGATTTTCTTTTCCTAGCCACTCCTGCTTGTTTGCCCATTCATCAAATGTAATGGGGTCTATATTTTCAGATTCTTTTGGCTTAAAACCTTTTACTGGTCCTGCTAACCAATCGGCCAATTTATCTATAGATTTGTTTTGCGAAACATAATGCGTCCCATTTCTTTTTTCCTCAGCTACCACCTGAAGTTATACGATTTCCTCTTAATACTTAGCAAGCAAATTATTAGAATGTGGATATAGTATCACAGTTACTCCTTTAAGCTCTGCAAGTTTGGCTCAAACTTCTTTACGAATATTTGCTTGGTTAGCTTGACGAGATGACATCTTATATAGTTCTTTCGCAGTGTAATAATAACCTCAGAAAAATTTTATTCAATTAATTAATTCTCCTCCTACCTGACAATTCACTAGACACAGATATGAGTCTAAGTTTATTTGGCTAATCAGATCCTTTGAAGCTATTGCCGAAAAAGCTTAGCTTTTTTTTTTGAATCTAGTGAAAAAAAAAGGGATAAGTTAACAGGATTTAAGCCTATCTCGATTTTAAGCTTGAATTCTATATTGGATTTTGATATCTTTCCTGGTCTTGTAGTTTGATTCGAAGCTTATAAAGATTTCAAAAATTTCGTATATCAGGAGAGCTCACAGACATATATAATCTACATTGGAAACAAATTAGTATTTCTAAAATTGCGGAGTCTCCAGCTAGGCAAGAAAGTAAAAAAGTGATTTTAATGAGCTGGAGATGTGAGAAGCAAAAAAAGAAAAGAAAGTAATATAGCAAGAAGGCATTGTGGGAGCGTACACCTCTAGTGGAAAATGTCCTTTTTCCCTTCATATAACGTGAGGCAAAATTTTGCCGATCACTAATTTATTTTAGAAAATTACAAAAATTAGCCACTAAGTAACACAATTTTATATGCAATTTTCAGTTTTGTTTTTCAATTTCAAAAGGTTTATTAGTGGACAATGTCAGATTGTTGCCTCTAATATATAGATCTCTTTCATAATTTCGACCTGTACAATTCTAATATTTGTTCAAATTTTGAGGTTATAATTTATAAACTTGTTCTAATAATAAAAAAAAAAAGATAAAAAAAGCCATATTTTGTTTATTTTTATTGAAATTGCTAAAAGTCAAACACAAATTTCATATTATCAAAAAAGAAATGGTTTCTATATTTTTCAATGTAGCAAAACTATCAGTTGTCTGAAAGAACCAGTTTTAAAATGTAAAATTTATTACAATCTTTTATTCGCAATTTATTTATCAAAACATTTATTTTTTTAAAAACTATTCCGCATGTTCTTTTTTGATAAACTTGAATATCTAGTAATCCAATTTTCTATCGTTTTAGAGAAGGTATCACTTCAGTTATAATTTCGCCATTCTCTACCATTTCTTTCAACCCATCCAGCATATCTTTTGCAGTATATCAGTCACTAGGATCACGTTGTCTAACCATAAAAAAGTAAGTTAACGCCGTTACTACTTCTTTTACTAGCCTTTTTCTACTGCCTTTTTTACCATATTTCTGATTGCATTTAAGTGCCTATCCAAGTTATAGGTGAAATATTTGACTCCTATTATATTTTAGAAGTTTTTGAGCATTTGATCAATAATAATCAATTATTTTACATAATAAAACCAATTTTACTCACTCATCTATATCTGTTTTTAAGAAATCTTCTTTTGATTCTTCACCAATTTGTGATTCTTCTTCTATTTCTTGCTTCAATAAATTCACCAATTCACTTCGTCCCACACCAATATCAAATTGAATATTTCTTCTGTTCAATTCATTTTTAATTTATCAACTGACCACCTTCTTAAATTCCAATGATTAGTATTTGACACTACTAAATGAAAATTGATCAAATAAAATCATACAATAAATGTGATTATTAAATTAAAATGCCATTAATGCCATTGAAAAAATAAGCTTACCTAAAGCTCGATATATTAGCATTATTCATTTTAAAGAAGCCTTGAAATATTCACCCACCATTGGTTTAGGCTGTACAAGTTCTGTTTTAGTAAACTTACTCACAGAAAAAATCATCATTTCTCTAAAATCGGGAAGATCACGTGCACAAATATATCCAGCTAAGGCACCCTCCATTGGCTAAGACCATTCAAACCAATTAGAAATTTCTGGTATAGTTTTAACATTACTTTGACTTCTTTGATCACAATTAGGTTTCAAGTAAGCTGTTGCTGTATCGCTTAAACTATCTAATACCTTTTCAATATCTTCATCAGTAGTTAAATTAAACCCTAATCAAACATATCTCTTAATAGCATATGAAATCTTAGATTGATTGAATTAAAAAGGTTGAGAATTGCTCGAATGAATATGTTCGTTAAAAAAAGCAAAATAAATATAATTATTACTTGTGCATAGTAACTATCAATTGAAGTTTTAGCTTCGCCCACTTCTAAAAAACACTACTTTTTACATTCAATATTAAACCATACTGCCCATTTTGAAACCAATGCCATCATTTCTGAACAATGATAATGTGGATCATTATCACTCATTACAATAACCCATCTTGGCTTTGGATCAAGTAAGGTAAATACTGCATTAAAGAATGAAGCAGTAAACCACGCGTCCTGTCTATTATTGTTTGACTAATGGTCAAATGCTTGAATCTCTAATTCGTTGCTTTCTTGATTTTTAGAATATACCAAAACAGTATGCAGTACCTATCCACGTTTTGCATAAAAGTTTTGTTTTATTTCTTGAATTCATTTTGGTAATATTCGCATCTTATAGTCTACCACAATAAGAATACTATCATTATTAAGTTGCAAAAGATTTGCATTGAATTGACTGTTCAAATACCCTTTTCTTGTTAGATGCGCAAAATAGTATTCTAGCATTTCCTGAAATTCTCTCAATGTTTCTTATTGTTTATCTCCAAGTAATGATCGCAATTCCTTAAATAAATTGAAGATTTTGTTACATTTAACATACTCTGATATATGATCCTTATGGTAGGCAATGATTAATACAAGAGTCATGCAATACTTTTCTATCACATATCACATATAAGTGTTTTGTATAATCACGTTTAAGAAATCGTTTAGATTTTTCAATACTTTAAGTAAACGCGTCTAATTTACAATTTTGTTATTAGTTTTGAATATTTTATAATTATAGAAACAAAAATCAGACGGAATAATACCTGTAGTTCCTGATTTTTAATATTTTATATAATTAAATTTGCTAAATCCTTAAACACATCATATTCATATGTACTACAAGTACTACAAAGTCTGCCCAAATCCTCTTGATATACAAATAGTCCATTTCTTAATCTTTCCAAAAATACTAATCTTTTTATTCCTTCAGGATACAATTTGTGAAATTTTTCCCAAAGATCTTCTTTCTGATCACTAAGATATTTTAATGGTAACTCTGTTTTGGCATTAATCTTGTAAGAACTTAAATTCACATTTTCCTTACTGCTCATAAACTATTTGAATTGATCTTCATGCTCTTGAGTAGAGCTCTGAACAGGTCAGTTCAGGTCAGGTCAATCAAGTTACCTGAACTGAGAGAATCAGGTCAGGTCAAACAAAAATCTGACCTGATTTAAATTTTCATTTGACCTGACCTGATCTGACCTGACCTGACCTAATATAACCTAATTTGATCAAATTATTTAAATTATTTAATAAACAATATATTATATTTGATTCAATTTAAAACTCTAATTT